CCAACCCAACAACTACAACCACCACCCCCACAGATACAACCACTTCACCCACAACCATTACACCCACAACTACAACCACTACATTCACAACTACAACCAATACTCCCACTACTACAACCAACACCCCAACAACTACAACCAACCCAACAACTTCAGCCACCACACCAACAACTACAATTACAATTAAGACTTTCACATCCTCAATACCAATAACAAAAGAAAATAACACAGTTTCTGCAAACCAATTTTCAACAACTACCACGTACAACTATTCCAGTAACAACTATGGGAACACCCCAACCCAAACACTGGAATCCACAGATATAATAGTGCTGTCAGTCATAGGAACAGTAATACTGGGAGCTTTCATAATTATTGTCATCATAGTGTTGTACACAAGGAAGCCCAAAAAACCCCTGTCACTGTATATGATATGAGGATAAGAAACCTGTTAAAGTGTTACTCAAAAGATCCAAGTAACTATGGACGAAAATCATCGCAGGCCGATGAAGGACCCTTAGTAAAACCTGGATGTATATGTGACAAAACATACCATGAGGGAACTAAGAGACAAAGTCAATATTTACTCTAGATGCCAAAGAAACCATGGTCACATTGTGTGCTTACAGCTTAATCAAGGGGTCAAAAAAAAAAGTCAAAGGATGGCAACTCTGTATTTTGGCAGGAATAGTGTCAAAATGGGATTATCCTTGGGTATATATTTTCTATTGGTTAATAAATCCATTTTGACATTCAATATAAGGTTTTTTTTAAGTGTTTTTTTTTTTTTTTTTGTTATAACCTCTTAAGAGTGGCAGCCATCTATAGAGGTCCACATGGTCTGATGGCAAGATTTTAGAATAATTCTGATGACCACCCTTTTGGTGGATAAAATGGATTTTATCATATTTCTATGTGTTGTTTTCAATGTATTTATAGCAGAAATTTGAATCTCTAATGAAGGGTTATCCCTATAATATTCAACCTGGCAGAAGGATGTGACTCAGACAGACCACATACCAACAACCCATTGTGTCATACGCAGTCTTAAGAATGAGTGAGGCATCCAAGAGACTTAATTAAGCTGGATGATACAAATATCAATTTAGCACCTAATTTGAGAAAACTGAAGACTTGTCACAGTTTGACAATACTTCTTTAAAAGACTGAAGAAGGCAGTTATGCCATTTGATGAAATGCAGATCTAAAGCATTAAAATGCTATGAAGTTGATATCCTAGGCCAAAGAGTGAACAAAGTTCTGAGGTTGACTTCAGTTACTCTCATGACAGTATTTTGAACTGATGGCAAACTTTCTGTAAATATCATTTTTAAGCATCACAGATTTTAATGTTTTCATAATTATTCTTTAGACAAGCAGTAGAAATTATTAAAATATTAGAAAATTGTTTATCAAGTCCTTTACATAACTTCAGCAATATGTTTTCTTCCTCACCAAGATTAAGTTCTTATAACAGTATCATCAATCAACTGTACAAATCTTATTCATATATTTTATTATTTATACATTATTATTAAATATTATATCATATGTATAGTTTTAAAAGTTAATCTACTCAAACATCCTTGTGGTCTGTCAAGTAGCTTTTTAATTAAATGAATCTATAGGCCTTAGTGATGAGGGAAAAAATTTAAACCACCACAACTGTCCTTATATGTAAAATATCTACATCAGCAGACTTGGAGTACTGGGAATAAACGGCATATCACCTTGTACAAATAGTGATTTTTTTCTGGACTATATAAATGATATCCATTTTTACCTTATCAAATATCCTTAATTTTTCCCCTTTTTTTCTGAAAAATTGCTGTTTTTACAGATGATGATATTATTTAAGTGTAATTGATTGATTCAAGCTGCACATTTTGCTTATATCAAAACATTGTATCGCAGAAAGATAGGTTGGGCAGTCAACTAAGAAAAATCACCAAGTTGTCACATGACGACAAAGGAATATCATTTTTTAAAGTGAATGTTTTATTATAGATTGAGCTTGTTTTAGATCAACACGTGAAAACATGCAAGTGCTAATTACAATTCTATTAAAACATCACAAAACCATTTGGTAATATCCAATTGCATATCAGAAAACTCCTGATTGGCCCATTTCTACAAACCGTCACTTCTAACACAAACCCTTCGAGGTGTGAAACTTGAAAACTACATAAATCCCCGAACAATCGCTCTCAGAAACACAAACTGAGCAAAATTGCATTAATACATAACGAACTTCACAGAGTAACTTTCACCAGCCAAAATGCCTTTGGTGAAAGACCGTCTTGCAGATATGCAGCTGAGAAACCATCACGTAGATGACCACTTTGACACAGTTTTGATGGAACATGAACAACAGCATGAA